CAATAAATTGATGTTTGTGACCATAAATTACGTAACGTAACTTTTAAATTTTATTATTGTGACCGATGAACAAATTGTGACTTTCACATTTTTAAATTGTGACCGATGAACTAATTGTGACGTAAGAAAATTTTGAATTGTGACCTAAAAAATTTTGAATTGTAATCAAATTGTATAGATTTGTGACCTTAACATATTCGCCGGAATCGGATCAGTCGCCGGAAAAGTCATCGGAATATCTCCGGAGTTGTGAGGGGGTTGTGGAGGTGGGGGAGGATTAATTATTTTATAGCAGAATTAAATATTAATTTAATAATTATTATTTCATAATTAAATTATAAATAAATTTTAATGAAAATCTGATTTTTGAAATTTAAAATTTCAAACCTTAATTTTGAAATGATGAGACTTAAATACCTTATTTATGTATTATTCCCTTTTATTAATTAACATGTAGAAGTTAACATCAACCTTGCTATCAAAAAAAGTTGCCATAAATTAGGAACTAATTGAAATGGAAATAAATAAATTAATTTGTTTCCATTTTATGGCAACTCTTCCATCACGTTAAAGGGAATGAATTGCATGGAGAATCAATTCTCCATATATTTTATTTCAAGAGTGATAATGGGATAGAACGACCCTCCCCTCCCCCTCGTACATTTTTTTTTGGGTGGGGGAGCAAGGGTTACAATATTCCCATTTCCTTCTTATTTCCTTTTTTATTTATTTCTTTGCCCACAATATAAATTAATAAAGAAAAAATAAATAAAAATAAAAGTCGAGGTGAGTGTGGGACAAGGATAATGTTTCTCGTTAACAATATTCACCTTAACAAAAACAAACCAAAACCTTATAACATCTAATGCAGCTTTTGATCATGATGATACTTGAAAAGAATTGATAAAATTTGACAAGGACAATTTTCAAGATTGTAATGGATGTGTTAATTATAACGTGTAATAATATTATTGATTGTGACTTTTGAAATAACAGAAGTACCAATCCGAAGAGAAATGTGCTTGGTTAATTTGTGGGCCCCACACTAATGTGAGAGGTTGTAAGATTTTACAAGCATCTAATGATTGTACAAGTGGGTTTTTCCATCTCAAGAAAAAGAAGTGTACATGTTTATCCTGTTCTTGTCTGCATCTTAATAGATAATGGGGTTATGACGATGCTAGACGTACAGGGAAAATGAGGGTATGTGGTTTATAGGCAGGACACATAGGAGGGGAGGGGAGGGGTTTTTTTTTTCTTTTTTAAAA